GGTTTAGTGCTCATGATGATTTTAAAGCATACATGTGCTCAGAATGTTCGTATGCATGCGTGAGTAAATCGATGTTAACTAGTCACATGAAAACGCACTCCGAAGTCTACCAGTACAATTGCGGTAACTGCTTGTACAAGACTAAATTCTGCAATGCAATGAAAAAACACCTAAAAGATAGTAAGCATCAACCAGGCTTGGTATTGAATCCAGACGGTTCGCCAAATCCATTCGCTACTATCGACGTTTACGGTAATAAACGCGGACCCAGACGAAAGACGTTTGTAGAAGAAAAGAAAGAACTGATAGAAACCATCGAAGATATACCGACAAATTTAAGAATGACTCACCCGATCTCATCGATTTCAACTCCGTCAGCTTCGGTTTTATCAATTCCAATTTCATCAACTACGATCTTAGACTTGCCGGATTCAAATACGGATCAGCCATTGGATCTTAGTATGTCCACAATGACAAAAAAACAAAATCAATCACAGTTGGCCACCATCAGTAACTTTTCAAAACGTAAGCGCAAAGCGGTAAAGTTAGAATATCCCACAATAACAATAAGTGAGAAAAAATTTCACATAGACGACAACGTCACGCAAACCCAAAATATAGATCAAACCTGTACGGAATCCTCTCTTTCACTTCTAACGGCAAGTCAATCTGATCTCCAGGAGACAAATATGATACATAATATAAATATATATAAAACATCATTTATTTGTTACCATTGTTGCATTATTTTTGCGAGTGAGATCATGTACGCAGTACATATGAGTTTTCACAAAGTTAAAAGCCCTTTCACGTGTGCAGTGTGCGATCGGAAGTGCACAGATCAAATTACATTCTTTTTACACCTCATTCAAACAAAACATGAATAAAAAAGATGGCATGCCATATAGATTACTTAGGAAGAGAAGTAAACTAATCTAGTCAGAATATAAATGTATTAATTAGAGACATGTACAAATCATCGGTAAATTAGTTCCTATTTAAATATATTTAAAAAAATATTTAAAAAAATATTTTATAAATGTAATATTGCCCTCTAATTTTGGCGTCATTAGCCGAAAACTGTGGACTGATCTAGACTCATATTTTCATCCGATTGGGAATCGGAACATCGACGTTGAGGGATTACTTTAGCAGAAAGATCTTAGCAGAAAGATGATCATTGGCATCAGTTGTTAGCTACGTGTTCTATATCATTGAATAAATATCTATAAGCATTTTGCACAATAAACGGGAAGTCTGCCCTTGTTCTTTATCATCTATGTTTAAACGTGTTGCGATATTTTGGAACAAAAAGCGAGATAAGACGTTAAACGGATTATTTCATCAAGCGACAATTGCTCGTTAATGTTTGGATTTATTCTGTTCTCATTGTTCATTTCATTAAACAAATTATTCAACGTAATAGCTATGACTAGAGAATGAGGTGACTGGAGTTGATATCTGAACTGGCGATCTTTGAGTTGATATCTGGACTGGCGATCTTTGAATTGGCTCTGGGGACGGACAGGTATTCAAACCAG